ATGTGTCAGCACTTTTAAATACAGTACCTTCTGCTGGGAAACTAAAATATAGACTGTTGTATCTTTGAGCTGTGCTCCTAGACCTTTTTATACTTTAGCTCTGCGATTATACTGGAGGAAATGAGCAGTGCAAATGATATTTTTTTGTTTTGAATCCTATTGCAGGGGTCAGCACCGTTTCTTGTCTGTGCTACAGCAGGCACAACAGTGCTGGGAGCATTTGATCCTCTGGATAAAATTGCTGATATCTGTGAAAAACATGGCCTCTGGCTTCATGTTGACGTGAGTTTGTATACCGTGTAGTTTTGTTTAGCATTGCTTTTTTTATAATTGCTATTTTTCTTTGGCTGTTGATGTTTCTTTGTTGGAGTAAGTTGGGCTCTAATAACTTTTCTTTTTTTCCATAGAGAACAGAAATACATTGTGATTTGTCTCTGTTACAAGTGCTGAAAACCAGCAAATAATTTGTTTGTGATAAACAGTCAAAGCTATTTTGTTATTGTCAGGTTATATTTCAAAATGATTTTAAAATCGATTTCTTCTTCTTGCTACCTCCTAAAGATGCTTCAAGGGTGATGATATAGCTTCAGATTCTTTCCACAATCTGTTGGAGAATGGATACATTAGGATTGTGCTGTATGGTTCATACAGGTTAAAATAAAGGTGTATTTCTGACTCAACCAGTCGTAAACGATTCTGTTTCATATTTACAAGTTTGAGTTTCCTGTATATCTCCTTAAGTTTTCTTAAATTGTTCAGAAATTTTTCTTTTCTAATTTCTTTATAATTTTAGGTTTGGATATTAAAATCCATTCATGTACCTTTTTGGAATAGTAATTGAGCCTTTTAGTTACCTGAACGAGTTAGCTGTAAATATATTTTTCTAAAACTAGTCTCTTCACATTTTCTGAAATTGCATTCTTTTTATAATTGCAATGCCACAAATCCGGCATGGCTAGATGAAAAGCCATGGAACAGTGAGAGAATATGGGGCAACATTAATGGGGATTTTTAGACCTGCTCTAAATGTTTAAAGTGTTTGTTTAATGTTAAGTATCTAAAGAAAAATTGCGTAGGCAGTGACGTGTGTTTCAAGTAAATGTCTTGCAGACATTAATAAATAAAGTTGCTGTATGTGTGAGTCAAAAGAGTTTTCTTATTGACTTGGAGGCAAAGATGCAGAATTTAGCCCTAGTATTGAAAGTGTCTGCAAAGCCTCCTCATGGTTGTGTGCTGGTGAGAATGACCCAGCAGATTTTCAGCAAAGTGCAGCATTCACATTAGGTGCTAGTTTCTTGCATGCTGGAGTATAGTCGGTGGAAAGAGAGATGTATTCAGAATCTGTGTTGGATTTGTGTTGGTGAGTTGAGTAGTCATGGCTGCGGCCATCTCTAATGGCTGTAAGAGGACAGTTAGTCTCCTAACGTACTTCCTGTAGTTATAGGAAGTGAATCATAGTGAATATAGGTTTACTAAAATAATATGTGAAAAGGTACAGAGAGACCAAGCATTTGCCATTCAGAAAGAGTGTACAAGAAACATAGTGAAGAGTTGGGTTTTTTGTTGTTGTTTTTTAAGCACACCTACCTCATTCTAGCCTTATAGGCAATAATATAATATTTTTGAAAGCTTTGAGGATCTACATTCCGCTGAAAGGCCTGTCTTCTTGTTGAACGATTTACACGTTATTCAATCTGAGTTATATCAAGTGAGTACTGCTGTTTGGACCTGCTGTGACTTTGGAGGGAAAAAAGATACAGTACAATTAAAACAAAGATTAAAAAACCAGGGAAAGTTCTTTCTAATGTAGGGCTTTTCATGTATAATTGATGGGAATCAGGATTATCTACTGCAAATGGTCTCAAGAGCTGTTTATAAGAATGTCTTGTGTGGAAGTCAGTGGTGTTATTTCCAGATTTCCAAATGATGTATCTCATTTCAGAATATTTTCTGATCTGGAAAATTGATATGTTTGCCTTAGGGAGACACTTTTCATTACATATGAAATGATAAAGCTCATGATTCTCAGGAAGGGCGAAAGAGAGAGTGTCAACACAAAATCAGTGGGCTTCAGAAAGATAAATTTCAACAAAGTCAGAAATAGGAGATAAGCTCTCACATGGAGACAAACCTAAAGAGGAAAAGGGAGTTAAGGAAATAGTTGTTTTAAGAAGATAATACCAATAAGTCCAAATTGTCTCAGCAGTCAAGCCGTTCAACAGCCTAAGTGCAGAGACTATAACCAGGTTTATTTTGTGCACATTACAGTATTCATACACACATTCCAGTTGCTTATTGCATTCTACCATACATCTATGATACCTTTCTTAAAGACTTGTTTTGCATTATCAAAATGACTTCAAACTCCAGCACTTATGTGTGTCATGTATTGTGTTCATGTAGCTTTAAATACTATATATGAGTATTTCTTCCCTGCTGGTCCTTACTTTGACTTTTTTTTACCCTATGGCTAGACCAGTACAGAAAAACCAGGTTTGACCTATTAGCCAGTGCTTAGGTAGGTAGTTTAATCACACTGCGAACAGCGTAACTCCCACTCTTCAGCTGTAAGCCATTTGTTGCATATGAAACACAGTAATTTTCTCCTACCTAGTTACCAATTACATTGCATGGGACAGAGGTGATAATCTTTGTGTTTTGAGCTGCTCTCAGCTGGACATGTCAATGCATCAATCTAGTTTGATCAATCTACCTTCCTTCTGTAGTCTCATGGATGGAGGAGAAGCAGTTAACTTTATTGTGTCTTTGCAATATCTCATCAGAAAGCCAGAGAAACATGCCAAGCTGCATCTGTGGTAGTGAGTGAAAACCTGGCTGGAAAATCATACCCAGAGAGCAGTTACCAGTGGTTCACTGCTGAAAGGGAAGAAAATTTTGAGCAGGGTTCCACAAAGGTCCATCCTAGGTCAGAAGTTATCTGGTATTTCCATTAATAACTTGGATGAAAAAGAAAACACTGATTAAATTTGAAAATGACATAAAACTGCTGCAAGAGGCAGTGGGAGGACAGGTTGAGAAATCAAAGAGATCCTGACAGTTTGGAGAAAAAAGTGAAAAAACTAGGCTACAGTTCAATAAAGATAAGAGCTTTAAGTTTAAGCTGTAATAATCAGCTGCACAAACAGAGGCTGGGGATTGTTGGCTAGACAACAGATCTTCAGGAAAAGATCTGCGGTTTGCACTACATCACAAATTGGCGATCATAAGCATTTTCAAATAGAGTTAAATGTCTTTCAGAATTGAATAAAGAAGATAAGTAAAATAATTCTGTCTTTCTCCTTGGTGCTCTGTCTGCTTTATCTAGATTGTGTCTAAATAAAAAGCTGCATTTCAAGAAGGTTAAGGACCCACAGCAGAAAGATTAGAAAATAGTAAAGCAGTGAGGATAAACAGAACCATACCTAGAAATTAAAACCAATGGGGAAATACTGAAAGCACTGATGTTATTTAAACTAGAAAAGACAAAGAGACGATACGTATGCTTTAAAAGCTGCTGCAAAAAGAAAAGGAATAATCTGTTCCCCTGACCACTGCAGGTATGACAACAGGTAACACTGTTTAGGAGTGACACTTTAAATCAGTAGGGTTGTTACCGTGAAACATTAATTAAGTCGTTAAGTTGTGCAGCCTCCATCATTAGAGGTCTGTAAACCCAGGCAAAGCCAATGATCCTCAGCCTTTTTAGGTGCCTTCTCTTTTTTTTTTTTTTTTTTTTTTTTTTTGCCTACCCTGGCTCCGTAAGGACTTGGTCTTTGAACTGGGTAAAGAAGCATGCAGCACAAATTCATCTTGTAGTGCTGTGGCTCAAGGAGAGACTGAATAGTGATGGAGATGCCTGGACCTCCAGTACTATCATCCCTCTCTTCCAGATCTCCAGTAGTAATTTTTTAAACAAAGGCAGAAAGTAGTGCCAGAAGTGCTGTGGAGGCAGCGATTACTGAAGTCTCTGCACCTTATTTTCACTTTGATGCTAATCACAAGCTGGGTGTGTTCATTTATAATCTCTAGAAAAGACAAATGTTTGACAGAAATGAGATGAGTATGGCTGATCCTGTATTGGGGGTTGCACACTGTTGACGTGACCTGTTGAGGGCCTTTCTAGTCCTGTTTTTCAGAAACTCTGAAAATGTCAACTTTTTCACATACAGATGCCTTTGGACACAAATTTTAAAAAGATTTGTTATATTTCATTGGGTTGCTTATAAATTATGAAAATCAAGGAATAACTTAGTGACTGTTTTGACTTTAATGAATCATAGAATGAGAAGACTAAAATTTGTCTATGAATAGGAAGTTCAGTTTGATTGTCTTGCCGTAACTTGCCAAATTTGGGCCAGCTGGAGAAACCCAGTTTCAAGTCATGGTTCTGCCACTGGTTTACTGTGAAGTTTGAGGCAAATCATTTCCTACCTTAGGTCTCACCTGTAGATTGAGCAGCAGCCCTTTCTTCAGCAAGAATGTTGTGAGCATGATAACTAAAATATGATGTGGTGTATTAATGTACGGCATTAATGAGAATGACATATGCTAAGACAAGTTATTAACCTTTAATTTCTCTTGTGAGCCTTTACCATTCCTGTCTCCCAGAGACAGCAGATCTTATTCCTAATGTGTGGCCTATGAAGCAGATACTGATGCTAAATTCACAGATCAGCTATCACATCTGTATCTTTCAAGGAAAAAAAGAACGAAAGCCAAGCAAGCATGTATTCTCCATGCTTAGGTCAGGAATCTTCACATCAGTGATTTTTTTTTCTCTTTGTTAGCCCAAAATGTATGAATCTTTTAAAAATAAGCTGAGTCCAGATGTTTTGTAGACTGATGCCTCCTGTGTGTCTCTCAGGAGCCTTGCTTACTTCACAGGGAATTTGCTTAAGTGGATTTTTCCTGCATGAACATTGCAAATCCTTTTTTAAATATTTAATCATAATTTCTCAAATGCACTGTATGGCTTGTCTACTGTTTGTTGCATGTTCTCCCCACTCCTCCCCTGTGGACAAATATTGTTGTTTGAGAACTGAAGATTCACAGCATCTGGTGGGTGAAATTTGAAATTTGTGTAATAAAAGCTTGTTGTCTGGTCTTCTTCTGTAGTCCATGAAAAGAGACATCTGCAAAAGGTGTCACCCAAAGACAGGTGCCTAGAATAGCTAAGGTGACACCTGATAAGGGGTTGCAGTGGAGAGCTACTCACTACAGAGAAGGCCTAAATGACTCTTAGTCCACACACTTAGTTCTTAGATGACCTGAGGGAGATGTGGTGAGTCTTTTAACATTGGTTGAATTGCTGGTAGCAGAAGTGCTGCTATTGCCTGCTTACTGACTTTGCTTTTCATATCCCATCTCTGTGGAAAATCTGAGCCTGGACTTTGCAGTTGGCAGAGATTGTAATTCTCTACAGTTGCCCTTGTCAGTGTCTCAGAAAGGAAATGACTAGCAGGAAGAAGATGTGCAAAATAGGGCTTTCTGCTTTCACTGCTTGGGTTTAGACTGAGGGAAAGGAAGCACCTCTGATTCAGCATCAGGAATGGGTCTGGTTATGCAAGGACATTTCAGTTCGTGCCCTTGCTTATGCAGAAGGGACAGTGTAGTTTGTGGCTCATAGTGGCACAAATCATCAGCTCCTCTATTTTAGGCATAGCCCCAGGCTGCCATCTTTGTTTCAGTAGATGATACTAAAGTAGTCAAAATTTAGCCCACTGACCATGTAGTAAACTAAGTTTTAAATGAGATGAAACATCTTCAGAAATTATTAGTTGAGGTATTATCAAAAGAACTTTATACAAATAATATTGTCTTGGATCTATAAATGTTCCATCAGGCTTCTTGGGGTGGCTCAGCTTTGGTATCAAGGAAGCATTGCAGACTTCTTCAAGGCATCCACAGGTAAGCCCGTTTAGTTCATGGGCATACGTACCAGGGACTGAGATGGAAGTTGTGTAATCTGTTGGCCTCCATGAGGGCTACGTTTTCCAAAATACATGTTACTATTAATTGGGGAGATTTCTGAATCTATGGGTGCGGGGAAACAGGAAATCTCATCTGTCTGCTTGGATTGAGTTTGTCTGTGTTTGATTCTCTAGTACCTGTGATTATAGGTGTAATTTCCACTTCCCTTTCTCTGTTTATAAATTTCACAGGGCTGATTCTGTTGCCTGGAATCCCCATAAAATGCTGTTGGCAGGAATCCAGTGCTGTGCTCTTCTGGTGAAAGACAATTCTGTAAGTCCTCCTGTCCTTCCCCGCCCCGCCTCCCCCCTTTTTTTTAATGTGTTAGGCTGTCATTGCTGTAATATGGAAGTGGAAATAGTTAGAAAACAACTGCAAGTCAGTTTTACTACACTGCAGTGCAAAGGCTGAATGATATTATTTTGAATTTCACCACAAAATTAATAAAGGGTGAATAAGAGAGTGGGGTCAAACCGATCCAAGTCACTGTACTCACCGATGGTCAAATTTTGCAGCTGGTGCCCTTGCTAGTTAACTTCTGTACGTGATTTGCATTCAGAATTGAGTATTTTGTCACCTGGGTCTGCAGCACTTCAACACCGAGCTCATCAAAGTCCTCAGAATAGCTGTCATCCATTGGGACTGCAGCAGTACTGCGTCTCTGTTTAAAGTAGGCAGAGCTCCTCTTTACATCCCCTTACATGGGTGCACCAGAGTGGGAAAGGAGAGGGGTAGGAATCAGAGCACATGCAGGTAAAGGTGGTGAGCCGTCTTTCCTCACTCTACTGGTTCTTCCTCATCTCCAGGGTGATTTAGGCTTTCCAAAAGCCATGACAAATTAAAAGATCTAGCAAGCGAACAACAGAGCTCTGATCTCAAGTGGCACAAAAGTGAGATGAGTCTGCAATATGGTAAAAGTCCCTGCTTATATCTTTGTGAAATTTTTCCATCTTAATAAAGAAACCAGTAAGAGGTCAATTATTTCAAGCCCCATTTCGAACTCAGCCCTGCTAAAACTTACACCATTGTCTATCAGCAGGGTGAGTTTTAGCTTATACTTCACAGGTTATGAACAACTGAACATCATGAAGATATGGAGCCCCTGAGGTTTGCATCAGTATTTTGTGGCCACGGTTTGTAAATCACTCTTATAAACCTCTGTCAAAACAGTCAATAGTTTCTATTCAGCTGCTAGCGGTGAGCTATCCGTGTAACACGTTACTGACTTCTGGTAGTAAGAAATGATGAGGACCAAAAAGCACAGATGCTAATCAGTGCTCTCTCAGAGCTGATTGCTCCAAGTCAGGGCTGAGACATGGCAGAACAACAAGGAGAAGTGTGCCTTCTCATTTCCTTAGACAACAGTCTGTGGGATTAAAGAGGATTAGAGTCCAGCACTACCCACCCATCACTTTATCTTTATTCCAGGATGAAAAACAAGCAGAATGAAGTTATTGACTAAGATTAATGTGATGTCTTAATTGCAGGCTTGGGAAGAATTCAGTGCTATATTTTTAGCCAATTAGGTGCAATACATAGATATAGCCTCAGGTAATGATTAGGCTGCTTGGGCTACATAACGGAAATTTCTCAGGAAGAAAGAGGAAAGAAACGGAAAAAATGAAATATTCTAGCTGCCGTGGCATTTAGAATCACTTTACAAACACTGTTCCAACTTCAGGGCTCTGGCAGCCTTTCTATATTCTCCTTCCATGGAGTGTAATACCTGGTAGAGGAATCCTATTTCACTTCTAAATCGCAGCTAGGTAGTGTTGTGCTGGAAATATTTGTAGAGCTGAATGCTAGGCCATTGAGGGGTGAAAAAACCCTAAGTATTACTGATCGTACAATCAGATCCTGTTGTACAGTGAGACGCGTTCTGGAAAGATTTCTCTGCATGGGGAGGAGAGGGTGTTTTCCTGTGTTTTTCCTGGAAAATTGGCACTTACGTGTTTTGTGTACGTGCCAGTGCAGTCTTTATATGCAAACAGAAACACATACGAATTTGAGTACTTTCTTATCAGCTTTTTGAAAGTGTTGGAATATAAATCCTAAGAAAAAAAGATCAAATGAATATTTAAGAGACTTTGGCAGAAAGGCCTTGCTTGACGATCTTCTCCATACCAGAACAGGCACCTGAATCCAATTTCCCATTAAAAATGCTATTTTCACACGAGAAAGAGAAGGGAAGGGTACATGTGTCAGTTTCTTACTTTGGAGCTTGTTCCACTACTCCTAAATTACAAAATACCTATGGCTGCAGATGAAGCACACATTTATATGTGAACATAATTCCTTCACACTATGGTTAAGATGTGTCAGTGGGAACTGGATGCTGAGGTGGGAGCTGGAAGTATTTGGCAGACATTGCTCTGCTAGCGAATGTTCAAGGAACCTCAGGTAGTTTCTGAAGTGGTGAATTCTACAAGAAATCAGAGGAGCAAAATGTTTAACGTAGATGTTAAGCTCCATTTATGAATCGAGCCCTAGCTCCCTTTGAAGATCTGGTTAAGGAAGTTTGCTTTGAGGTCCATTTGGAAACTGTGGGCTACCTCAGGATTAGGGTTAGGTGATTCTAAGTGGACAAATAATCCTCCTCATTTTTTATTTCTCTCTTTCTCTCTTTTTTTAAGGTATAGATCATTTAACAAGACCAAGCTTTGTATTTTGCTTTATGTATGAAAAGAAGGAACCATCACATTTCCAATGTAGTAGTAACACCCTATTTTCCCATTAGCAAAAGTAATAGTGACTGGTTTTGTTTGGTTTGGGCTTTTTGCCACATAGCACCAATGAAGCTGTGTGGTTCAGCAATGTTAATAGGCTTAACACATTACAGTTAGATTATTAGAATGAAGCATTGTATTTAAATATTTTCCTATACATATCAAAAAGAAAAAAAATATAAACTGCAGTGAAATGCTGATCAAAGAGTATCTTCCAGCCTTAGTGAAACAAAATTGGAATGATTTCCAAAGAAGGTAGAGATAGAAAAGAGAAATAAGTGTTTGACTTGGTTAGAAGGGAGAAGTGTTTTCACCAATTTTTTGGTTAATCCTCTGTAAAAGCTCAGATCAATGACAGTAGTTCTTCAGTGCTTAAAGCACTCAAGAAATGCATAGCTGTGCCTTTTTCACTGCCATACCCTGAGTAACTTTCATCACTTCTGTAATAAGATCAACTTAGTCAGAAAACACCTTTGTAGCTGTGGCTTGAATTGCAGTGACTGTTTAAACACAAAGCTAGATGGACTGATATTCTCAATACATTGCTGAGTCAACTTTGTTCTTATATATTCCAAATATTCTGTGAATCAGCCTTAAGACCACAGAGCTACTCCAATTTTTCCTTGCTATAATCCATATAAACATGAATATTATCACTATATAAACAGAGAACGAATGTTTATCACCAATGCCAAAGATCTGTGACTCAGTGTAGCACTAGGTTAGGTAATTGGCAATCACTTACTAGTTAAAAATGAAGTCTTGAAGAATGTAGCTAATGAAATCCCAGTTTAGCACACAATATAATTGATCGAGGTGGTCATGGTAGCCATCTAGAGTGTAATCTCTTCCTCATCATTAGCAGTATCACAAAGATATCTACTTCCCTGATTCCTTTGCAGGGCAGCCGCAGGAAATACTTTATTCTCATTGCTTTCTCCTTGGGGTTTGTACAACTGAGAGCTCCTTCTCACTTCTTGAAGTGAATTACAGGGGTGGCCTTTTGCACTGCACTGCTTTTGAGAATGTTCAAGTATGCCATTCAAAAGAATGTCCTTATTGCTTCAGATGAGGCAAATCTGGAAGATCTTTATCTTCGGGACAAAGATGTTTTGTTAATGAAATTGAAATTCACTTTTAACTAGCAATGGAAATTGAAAGCGATCAGAAGGCATACTGTAGGTGTGTTCAATGAGAAAAATATGTCAAATTATGAAAATGGAGCTCTTAATATATTGATTTCAGTATCAATAATTATCCATTTATTTGCCGTTAATTAGAACACACAGCAACTATCCATAGACTTCATCAAAATGTAAGGCAATTTGAAACTTCATAGTAGACTGAGGCCTCCATGAATTTCCATTTTCTAAACTTTAACAGCCCGAGTAGAAGGCAGAGCTCTACCATTAGTCTCTGTATAAAGGGTAGAAAGATAGAAGCTGCTGAAGAAAGAATCTCAAACTTGTCAAATGGAGCAGTTCTAATGAAATTGTTGCAATCTTTCTGGACAGATGAAGCAGCTCAATTACTGTGTGGAAAACTCTTGGGGTCTTCTTGGGACTGAGAATGTCGAGTTATAAAGCATACATTTTTTCCTTTTTTTTCTTTTTTCTTCTACTTTTCCATCATTTGACTAGGAAAACTGAGGCGACTTTTTATGTCTTCAGCATGTTTGAGTCTATTACTTTTGAGACAGCAGCAATCAAGGAGTAACTGCCTTCTTAAGCATAAAATTAATCTTGGATTTTTTCCTCTTCTGTTGTCCTCCCTGCCCAAACTCTATTCTGCAATGTTCCCTTTCTCTTCCCTTCTCTCTCCATCACCTTGCTTCTTGCGTTGGTCTGGCATATTTATTTCTTTCTCACAAAGCATGATTTTTGTTTCTTCTCCTGTCTGCTGGAGGATGTCACTGTACTTGTCTCTGGAGATTGACATTAGCAATATCTTCAGCAGTTTTGATTTCTTGAGTATGTTGCATTATTCGTAAGATAAGCAGATGGAGAAGGATCATCAAGCCAGCATGTCTTGTCAGCTTTGGATGCACCAGAAGAGTAGGACAGTACCTGCTGCTTTTTTTTTTCTTTTTTTCTTTTTTTTTTTTTTTAAATGAAATACGCTCCCAGGAATTTGAGTTCACTTAGAGATATTGAACTATTTGTTCTTGTTGCATTTTCACTCTAGAGCATTTGTTTTTAAGCCATGAAACTCTGCAGCTGTGCTGTGATCTTAAGTGAACTTCTCAGTCTTTCTGAAACATTACCAATTGAGTTTAGATTTCTTGTGACAACCAAAAGTTATTTCACAGATAACAGGCATAAGGGGAACTAATATGCTGTGATATACTCTATTGTGCAGGTGTATTACATTCTGATAAGGCAGAAGGTAGTCCCACAATGATCAACCCTGCTATATACTCACTGCAGAAACACTGTGAAAATTTTAAAGTTAGTAAGAGACAAAGCAATTAACTTAAATTTGTGTATGTTGCTGCGTTTTTTTTTTTTTTAAATACCATACCTAGTAAACTTGTATTTCCCCTGAAAACCAAGGTGTAGAGATCTAAATGAATAGATCACAATGGCTTCACAGACTGATGTTCCTGTTGTGCAGCTGCTAGCCAGAGAACATGTAAAGGCTGGATGATTCAGTGCTTCACTTTTCTTCGATTTCTAATGTCATCTTCCCGCCTTTCTTTCTCTGAAAAAGTTGGAAAGTAGGCCTGAGAATCTTATTTACTGAAAAAAACTTTGCCCAGCATTGGCGTTTCAGCTATGGCTACCATGTGCTGCAGCAGCACATTGTCACTCTGACTGCAGAGGGAGAGCAGCTGCTGCCCCTTTTTTTCTGAAGCTGTCACATAAACTGTCTTTTCACAAGGCTGAATGTGCTGGTCCTGTGGCTAAAGAGTTCGGATTGAATTTGCTGTCCTTTTTGCAAATCAGCGATATTACAATGGGATTGTCAAACCCTTACAGAAGTTGTGGATAAATCTTTGGTGGTGTTCCCCTTTTGTGCTCTATGAACAGGTACACAGGTTGGTTTTTTTGTTTGTTTTGGTGTTGATGAAGGGAAATGAAAAGGCTAGGGGAGAGGGAGACTTAGTCTGTGTATGCCAGTGGATTATTTCTCCTTCGTATTTTTTTGTCTTGACCTTTTTTTCCTCAATTTTATTGCCAGTTCCAAAGTTATCAGTAGTGTGTTGTAATGTAGATCAAGAGTTATACCTCTGTTATGGGAATATGACACTTTGATTAAGAGTGATGTCAGACACTATCTGCCATTTTAAAATCAAATTTGCAGCAGATGCAAAGAAAAGGATGAAATGGGAAATGCTTTTTCAGTTGGTTCAAATTGAAGAGTGATGTAGAATTGGAAAATGAGTTGTGCTTTTTGAGATACTGTTTGGCAACTTCTGTCACGCTGTCCACTTCTGATTCTTGGTTTGTGCTGCATGTAAGACTTCTGGTCAACTGTCACTTAAATATATATTTGCAGATCTGAATCAGATTCTGTAGCCATGTTATTAACCTCATCTGAATTTCTATTCTAGCATTATCTTGTTGGTTATGTTTTATTTTTCTTACCCACTTTTAATATCCCTGATGAATCTACAACCTTTTCTGTCTCCTGGGTGCCTTGTTGGGCCACCCTCATCTCTGCTCTTGTAATCTGCTTTCTGACAGCCCTTCTCTCTACTTGATAATATTACAGAGTATACATTGATATTTCATTTTTCAGCCACTGGCCAATCCTATGCCTCTTCTCTTCCCCAACACCTTTAAATGTATAACAGCCTCTGCTTCCTGTTTCCCAGCTTTGTTCTTTTCTGGAACTTGCCATGTTACTCATTTACCTTTGTCTGTTTTCTGCTGCTCATCGCTTCCCACGCAGCCTTTTGAAAGTTGGAGGCTGGAGATTTCTGAATAAAAATAATTTCATTAACAAACCATAGTTAGGGTACGCTAAAGTACCTTTTCTGAGGTCTATTTTCAAATGTTAAAATTGTCTGAACTGTGAAAAGAGAGAAAAATTTGGGTTGTACTAATCTCCTCGTGGTGTTTCCACACAAGCAGTCAGCCTGTGCTAAATCCTCAGTGACTTTGTTTTCTGGTAAGTGCTAAACATTTGTTTCTTGGGGCTAAAATCTTCCCTACCTGGAACTAACTGTACTGTATATAAAGTTATTTGACAAAGAAGGAATAGATTGAGCATTTGTGAATGTGTAGGAAGCTTCTCAGGAGCTGTTCTTCCAGTCTCTAGGCTGGAGCAGTGGGTGTAGGCTTCTCCTTCTCCTCCCTCTTTCCCACCCACGCATGCCTTTGGGCAACTATTTCTGTCATACCCACTCCCATGGTTTCTTGAGATCTGAGTCAGAATTCCTCTTCAACCTGCAACTCTTCAGTGACATTATGAAGACAATAATAACAAAAAAACGTTCCTTGTTGTCAGTGCTGACTTCACTGGGTTGAGGTTCATCCAGGGTTCTTAAACCACGCCATCAGCTTTGGATAGTTTTCTGCACATCCAGTTCTGTTTTACTAAGCAGTTGGTACAGAGAGGAAAAAAAAGGCTTTGGCTTGTGAAGATAAAAAGGTTTGAAAGTGTTTATCAGCAATGTAAGACTCTATTGTGTTTCTAATAGGGACTCCTGAAGAAGTGTTACTCTGCCAAGGCCTCGTACCTGTTCCAGCAGGACAAGTTCTACGATGTCAGCTATGACACCGGTGACAAGTCCATTCAGTGCAGCAGGCGTCCAGATGCGTTCAAATTCTGGCTGATGTGGAAAGCATTGGGAACCACAGGCCTTGAGGACAGAGTAAACAGGGCACTGGCTTTGGCTAGGTACCACCACACAGTTTTGAATATGTCTAATCTGTTTAATTCACTGAAATGTTGACACTGCTGATACTCCGTATCCTGGAACAGATCAAATTGTTACTTTTTTCCCCTCTCCTTTTGTTTGTGTTTGATAGGAGGAACTAAACCAAATAATAATTACTGTTATTACATTTGCTACAGTATTTAAGAGTAGTGATTACTTTTTCCAATAAGTGTAGATGTTGGTAGACACAGAAGTCCAAATTAGACTATCAATCTACGCTGTTTAACATTTATGTTATCTGAACCAGACATAGGACAGGTTTACCAATACACCCTCTGCTAACTCGTAACTCTGTCTTCTGGTGTTAATGTAGAAGTAGCCCTATGTGCCTGGCTCTGAGCTGTGTCTAGCAAGAAGTGAATTAGCCATTCTTATGTTCACTTCATTCCTCATGACTGAGGAAATACAGAAAGCCAGTGATGCAGGGAAATATGTATGAGGACACTCTGCTAACGTTAGGAAGTAGTAGAGATATATGAAGGCATGTTGTTCTGAGATACTGCTTGTTTTTTCTCCACAAGTTTGCCGAAGTTCTTAATGCTTGCAGTATGTTATGTAATTCAGTTGGGGACTGAAGCACCATTTTCTTGTGATCTTCCCCTCTCCAGCCCTGTTCAATTTCACTAAGTTTTTGGTCTTGCAGAACTGAGGTTCACAAGTGAATTCTGCAAAAGTCTTGCTAGAAGGTGTTTCTAAAGTGATGGTGATGTCTCATTTTCTGGGAAGATACTTCCATGCACACGCTGTTTTGTCTTCTGATAGAAAAAATAATATTGAATTAAGATAATGGCCTATTAAAAACAATTCACTGGAAGTATCATATTGGTTCAGAATTCATAGAAGATAAACCACCATGGAATCTTCACCAGTTCTTGGGCTAGCTACACATTACCATAAGTCAAATCATTAATACTGAAAAACAGTCACCCATATTATATTGCCATTTTATTTTTTATATGAACTACCAAGTTGAAAAGAAGTGAATATTTACTCCAGTGGAAATTAAAGCAATAGTCTCACTTTGATGAAGCCACTTAAAGAAAAGGTAAAAATCCGTAACCTAAACCCAGAGTGGATTAGAAGAGAATAAAAAGAGAGAAGCAAAACAAGAAAAGCCCAAATGAGCTGTGGCTTTTTTCTCTATTTTATTTATTTAAAACCACTCATTGTTTGGCTGGTTAAGTCTTCCTTAATACCTTCTAGTTAAATTGCACCTTGTCTTCGTTCTGAAGCGTTGTCCTGTCTGTGTCTGTACCGAGTAATTCATTCCACTATCAGTAGGAGAATTCAGCCTTATCAAGGTCACTGGCCAAGGTTGTTTGACTGAGAGTGTAGTGATTAATGACCTTTCTGGGATCGATATTTTCTTTGAACGTTACAATTCAGGTGGTAGCACTTTTAAGGAATGACTGGTAAGAGTCACCTTTTTTTTTTTCTTTAAGAAGAAATTGAATTCTTAGTCATTATCTGATGAAGTATATTCTTTACAGTAGCTGCATTGCTATCTTGAGTTGGCATGGACATGGGCACTTTGCAGCTGAGACATCAGGTTTCCTGGGCACTGTGCCAGGTTTCCTAACTACTCAACAGCTGTGCAGCCTTTCTCCTGATTTGTCACAGTAGGTGTTACTTTGATACTGCAAAGATAGTATTTCAGTGTTCCTGAACACAGACCTGAATTAATTCTGGAACTAGTCCACTGACTGTAGAACTTGAAAGCAAGATTACTTTATTTTTTCCCATGGCCAGGCAGAGCTGCAAAGGTTTTAGGGTAGTTACAGGCATGTATTTCTGTTGCACCAAACTTTGCTTATTGGCTATTCCATTAACAACAACTTCTTCTGGAGATGAATCATGTTTTCAGTGTACTAGATATCCCAGGAACATTGTGATGCTACCTATTTGGAAAGGCTTATTTTTAAAAGACATACAGCAGAGCATCCTGCTGATCACTTCAGAAAAAATTTTGCTGTTTTTTTTTTTCCAGTTATTTTTGATGCACGGATGTTGCTTTATGAAGTACACTAAAAAGAAAATAGAAGTAAACTGCCTTTAGAATACAACTATAACCACCTCTGCATTTTATGCTTCAGTATCTTTGCAGTTTTTCTGCCTGATTCCTCTTCTGACACCCACTCTTAGCAGACATATGTCTACTTTCACTGCAGATCTCCACCCCTCATTTTCTGCAAGGCTTAATCATAGCAAATACCACTTCTCTGTGCACTCCAGTCCTCACTGAGACTCCAGCCCTTCTGACGTTTTACAACGATGACATGATAATAAAACTGCACTGTCAGCTGTGGAAAGATGCGCAGAGTAAATTGCTCCACTGCCATCAAATGGTCCTGGCAAGATAAATCATGGCTGATGGATTTTCTAATGGCTGTCTTCTTAGGCTATTGGCAATGTAGTTAAGAACATGATTAACAGTGTTGTGAGCTTGACTGACATCAGATATCCTATGTCAGATGGTGGTATTAAAAAAAGGCACTTATAATAAGAAGGAAGGGTATTAAGCATTGTAAAATAGCTCTAACAAAAAAAAGTGATCATACATAGGTTTCTTTTTCATGATTTATTAAAAGAAAAAAAGAAGAATTGAGGGCCATTGTCTTGTGAACAGCCTGCTGAGTTTGCTGAATGTTGGTTTTATGGCACAGGCGAGTAACTTCTAATCAATAGGACAAAACCCCTGAGCTTGTTTTACTTAAGACAATTCTTCTGTAGAAACAGGTTCCCCCCAACACGCTCACGTGGTATCTAGCCTCCTACTTACCTTTCAGAATGCCTCTCATTCAACCTAAACAATAGTGTGGGCATTAACAGCCAGGTAACAAACAAATGCACAAAGTAGGATTAAATGGTCATGGCAGAAAAGACCCAGAACCTCAACTTGTTATAGTGAGAGGAAACAGCTCAACAGTGCACAGTGTGGCACAACTCATAGAGCTGCGTGTCATGGGAACTGGCACTCTACCACAGCAATCATTTTGCAGGGATGTATGCTGAGAGGTAATGAGTCACACACACAATACTTGTTAATGATAAACAGCATGACAACTCCCCATGCTCTGTTTTGAAAAATGTGTACCGCCTAGGGTATTGTTTACTGCCTCCCTAGCCAACCTGTTTCTGCAGCATGTCTGCCGAATAGCAGGCATTGCGGATACAGCTGTACTAGAGGTGTCCCTGTGGGGGCAGGTTTCAGGCGTGTGGATAGGATCAAGGGGTGTTATTTTGACAATATTTTTCTTCTTAAAGTAGTGGATAAAAGTATTATTTGTGTGATGACCGGTGATGCAGCTGCAGGCAGGAAAATGCCAAATAAATGCAACAAAAGAACAGATCTGTACATAATCAGTAGTTTAACTTTTTCAGTTTTATTACTGTTAGACAGCAAAATCTTTGTGTAGAAGACTGAAATTCTGTTGAAATGGAAAAGCTGTGTGAATTTGAGGTGATTTTTTTTTGAGTTTTCCTTGGGAAGGCTTTGTGGGCAGGGGGCGGAAAAGAGAAGTCTTCACTATATCCATGTTCTTTTTGCTTCAGAATTCCTGTGTGATTTGTGCCATGGCAAAGTTGAGGCCATGTTTTAAAAAAATTCTGTGGATTGGAGCTGTTTGGATCCAAAGTTTTGATTCAAACCCATCTTCCCATTGAAGGCTTCTGTGTTTTTCGTTCTGACAGGTGAAAGAGAGAAGTACTTATTTCAATACATTGTTAGTGTAGGATGCCCAGGGATTATTGTGCATCAGCAGTGGCTCACTGAATGGAAACATGCGCCGTTGTGTACAGTGTGGAACAAGGACAGTACTGGGAAAATTGCTGGGCTTGAAGTACATGGAAACTTTTAAATTCTGGGCTAAACTAAGAGGTCCCGGTGACAGTAGTAGTGCAAGAAATGTCAGGATGGCCATGAAATAACATGGCAGCACAGCATCAGCACTTAAGAAAAAGAGATGAAGGAATCAGTTTGTAGAGAGCAACATCAATGGAAATTTGCATTGGGAAAGTTCACAGCCTGATGCAAATAGCATCAATTTGTGCCATGTGGCTCCACTAAAAATCTGTGCCTGAGGACAGAATTTGGCCTCTCCTAAGTGCTCCTTGTCTGGCTATAGCCTTCATTTGTTATGAGGAACTGATAGCTACTGCATTTTCACAGCAGGTAGAAATGAGGTTTAACTCTGTGGTTTCTTTAGGGGGGAAAAAAAAGAAAAAAAAAAAAGAAGGAAAAAATGTGTGTACATGTTCAAGATCTTTTTTTTGTTGTTATTGTCTGCATATATTGTTTTGTTCTATGCTTTAAAACCATGCATTTTTGGTTACAGATATCTAGTGGAGGAAATTAAGAAAAGAGAGGGATTCCAGCTTCTTTTGGAGGTAACTGAAAACGGAACTGAACTGGTTTTGTTATTGGGGCAGGGTGTGTATTGTTTGATTTTACTCTTTTTAGCCAATTGCCAATTTGTATTTGAAGTATATAATTTAACAAGTTTATGTATTGGAGATGCACAGGTATGACTAAACACACATAACATGCTCTGTATTCCCTACCATCACTCTAGTTACTTTTCTAGCTTCTGGGCCTGTATTGCCTCAGGGGATATAGATAGAGCATTTTTCTGTGAAAGTGAAGTCTGGCTCCAAAAAAGCATTGCTTGCCAGACTTACAGATAAGACCGTGTCCTGAATGGAAGAATATTTTCATCCTAAAAATGAACTTTTCATAATTAAAGTCCATGTTTTTTTCCTTAATTCTGTTTCTACACCCTTCGTCCTAAAAACTACCCGAAAGTTGTGGTTTTCACTCATCTTTGCTAAACCTGTCAGCTTATTACCTGTTGGTGACCTTGGTTGGGAGGAGAGTGAGTAAAGAGGGCAGAGCTAAAGCCTATCCACAGCTCTTTGATTAATAAGGCTAATATTTAGGGATGTTGCAAAGACCTGTCATTTTTAGAAAAATCTTCTGCGTTGTTAGAAGTGTATGTGTGTGAAAGACAGCTGAGTATGTAGTATGGGGAGGAAGAAAGCACATGGAGGAGGAAGGGAAGCGGATTAAGTGCTATACATAGAGACCAACAAACCATAATGATGCAGATTTGGTTTACGCTTGCTGATGCCATGACATTCCAAGTTAGGCTGGAAAAAATATGAAATATAAAAAGTATTTTATACTATTCATACAATATAAGCTTTTCCATTTAACTTTGAAAAATGCTAATTTGAAGGTGCATCCTGGGAAACTTTATGTGGAGTGAAGAATTTTGGGCTAGCAGCACGTGATAGAGTTACTAAAATGGTGAATCTGTTAACAGCTCTCCATTTTCTGTTATTGTAGAGCTTAGCAGAGAGCCCAGATCTACTGTAGATATGAAAGCTGTTGGTGAGAGCAGAGGCTTCTGTTTAGTTCCTGCAGGAACAGTAGACCTGGATTAAAAGTGGGATTGGAGGGAGTGCTGTAGTAAGGGCTATGAGAAGTAAGTTGAGCAAGGGTTAAGAAAGCATTTTCAGGAGTGCAGGGGGACAAGCAATACGAATTCAAAGAAAGACTGCCAGGAGGCAGCTAGGCCCAGTTATGTGAGCTCTTTCTGAAACGCAGTTGGACTTTGGACAAGAGGCTCAGGAAGATGATCCTCTGATACATGCGGTGAGGAAAGTCCTGTAACAAGAACCGGTCTATGGCCTGGAAGTGCCAATCGCGCTTGAGTCATCTTGAACTCTTCTGTGGTGTAGTTGCTTACCTGCTTGGATAAGAGCTGTGATGGGATAACCAGAAATAGAGTGAAGCATGGCTGGGGGTAGTTAAGTTTTTTCTAGGATGAATGATATTTTCAGAGGGGGATGATGTATTTGATGTGTGAAAGGAAACTGAGATAATCAAGAAGGCAATATAGGCAGCGGCAATATGGTAATATATGCCATCTGTCTGCTCCTGCCATCTCATTTTAAATAGTTTTAAAATAAACCCTGTAACAGCAAGATAGCACTTGTGCTCATGAGGAACCCGCTGCCTTTTTCAGGGTCTGTGTTTATGTGTGTACTCAATGCATGCTCTTTGGGGAAAGAAATGGGACTTTAAGAGCTGAGCTTTATTTCATTCAG